TCCGGGTACAACACCATACAGACCCCTGGCCTTCTGTATTTCTCCGCTAGAGTGTCTCTTGGCTAGGAACTTCTTCTATTCTGTCACACCTTATGCATGTTATGAACAGTTGGAAGTGACCACGATACCTCTAGTTTTATATCTCTGTTTGGAAAAAGTGTTTATAGTTCTCAAGTCCTCTCTTACTTGGAATCATCTTCGCCTAACAACACGCCAACAATTATCAACATCGCTGACTATAACACTATTTCACGTATAGGTGGTTCCATCTTAGTTTCCTTAGACGACATTAATATAGTAATACATACTTACATGATAGGTATGAAGTCAGTGATATAGTATAGTGATAGTATATCTGCTCAGAACTGACTATCTCTCTATGCTCTCCTGTGAAGTAAACACATTTTATCCATGGTGATCAAACATCATGTGGTCTGATCAAATAGTACTCTTAGAATTAGACTCCTCGACTTAACTATTATAACACTGACGTTGTTTATCTAGCATTACATGATGGATCTATAAAGCGTCTATCTACGTGATTCGTATTTTACGAATTTATATATTATGCGCGGTTTCTTTTTGGTTTACATACATAGAGATCCTATATGGCGGGCCATCAACATCTTGCTGTACACGTCGGGCGTTTCTCAAGACGGACAAAAGCTGCTGCTACCTTCTAATACTACGTGGCTATTTTATCCTGCACATTCCGTATCTTACTATGCATCCTGCCCATAGCGGACCTGGTACTCTTTGACACCGAATGACAGTTGACTTTACATACCACGATTCGGCCTTGACACAGAAACGTAGGGTTCCAAAATCATTACGCATTCGTATACACTCAAAATTCTGCCATTCTCCCTGTCTTTTACCAGCAGAGCATCTTAATGATCGATCGCGATGAATACTGAGAGTGAGATATTGCGCAGAACATTAATATAACTTGCGAGACTTAATCGCGACAAACGAGACTATAACGGATGACTGTCTGGCGTTAGATAGCGAGATGATATGTACTTGCGAGTTTTGAAATGCCTATTTGTCTCGATTGACACTCGAGGTACTTAGTGAACGGATATGGGAATTCTCACCGTCTGCCACATCCAAGTCGTCTTGCTCCGTTTACATAGTTTGATTAAGGTCTTTTCATTTTTCGAGCACAAGGCATCGTTCCTCATGACAAGGGTAGCATATCTTTCTTCCCCGCTAAGAGCCCTGTTGGAGATGATTTTCTGGTACTGAATTATCATGTATTGACGCTCACTCTGATCCACCTCTGGAGTATTGACCAATCCTCTCTTTGGTGACTCTGTGTCAGTCGGCTCGAGTCAGAGAGTAAGAATATTTCTAACTAGAATTTGAAACACGCGACACTCAAATGACTGCTTGTTCTAATTTCTGCATGAATGGTTGTCTTTATCTTACTTTAGTGTAAGTCTACTGTGTAGTAGTTTTATAATCTTACTTAGATTTTGAATTCGCAACGCGGCTTAAAATTTATATATTTGCATGAAGGGAAAGTTCCATGTTTCTTCACCTTCTCATGTCTTTCACGATATCTTCTTTAGCGGTATAAGCATCTCCGTCTGCCAGTTTGACTGGAACTCAAGCCAATTAAAAGCTATTCCGGCCGTTTAAAACTGCCGAGATCCGTCGTTTCAGGCTGTTGAGAAGCATGAATACAAATTCTGAACAAACTCTAGGGACCATGTGCGTGAGAACAGACATAACAGCGCCATATAATTCAACCGACAAGCGAGAACATGTAAGATGGCGCAGCTCCAATCAATTACCAATCGCAGTTGCTTGCATCCAAAACTAACAGGTTCACCACCATGTGAACAGATATTAAATTATAAAGATTTTAGCTAACCTATAAACTTTAGACCTAGGAATATTTAAACACAGATTATAGATAGTGCTGTAAATCAGATGCGATGCATTTGAGACCAGCTGTCGTAGCGCGCTATTGTTATGCCGTGCTATAAACCCTCACACCAGGGGTGCGTTTCCTTACTTTGCGCGGTGTAACGGCGGACGGACGATGGGGCCAGAGAGCGGCCAAGGCGCACATAGCGTGGGCGTCGTTATATAGCGTTCTGGTGTCGTAATATCGCAGACATCTCCTTTCGTTTCGAGTCGTTGTTCGCTTCGTGTTATGCCGTCGCCTAATGTCGCAAGATGAGTAGCCAAAATGATTGCGCCTGAGTGACGGTGGCGTTTGTTGTTGCAGCGGGGGATGAATTCAATACATAATCTGCTCTCCTCTAATGTTCCACAGGCTATCCCCGGCGATCTGGCCTGGGAGCCGCCGCATAATCGAACGCGGTCGGAGTTCGCCGATTTGTCAGGCGAACCCTTGTTACATTTTCTGCGTCGCCGTACCGCGTCGCGGCCAATCAGGTTGCTCGGCGGCCACCCTGGTCGAGCCGTCCGGTCGTGACGGAGGGTTTTACATTAATGATAAGTGTCAATGCTCACTGACTCAGCGCTCCCACCAAAAAACACCCACTGAGTGAGTAGAGAAGAAGTCGTGTCAGGAGGTTAGTATCCAGTTCCCAGCTTCCTTATTCGAATAAAGACTAATATAAGGGGCAAGCAGCGTTCAGTTACCACCAGTTCCTCGTTTCGATAAGGAACTAGTACTAGGCTAGCATCTATCAGCAGTTCAGTTCGAAATGCACCTTAGAATTAGGAATCCGCGTTAAACAGGGCAAACTAATTATCTACTAGGCTCTGACTTATTCGCCCAATCAATTAACCTTGGCAACATTTATATTAAATAGATTACCAGCTCGCATCCAGACTACTTATCCAGGCTGTCACCAGTTCGAAACCAATCACTACTTGCCAATAACTACTATGTTATGCCTGAGATACAATAGACTGATATGGCGAAATGGTAACTCGGGCATCAAAGGTCATATTGCCGCGCCACTCTGCAAATTGACTTTTAGTAAGAGACCTTTGAGGTAACCTGAATAACGGTAGCTGGGGCTTTTGTTTGGTGGTACTATAAATATAACTGTTGTACAAAGCTTTGACAATTATTTGTGTATATACCAGGTTTCATAGGGTCTAATGTCCCCAGAATGGTACTGACATCCGTGATAAACGCATACCCTGACTCGGGTAAGTAGAGTCGGTTGCGGGTGATACCGGGGAGGATACCATTAGGGTATACTATTTGAAGTTGAGATTAGGATGTTTAGGTTAAGATTGAGGGGGTTTTGGTTTAGGATTAGGCGGCTACAGGCAGTCTGGGTCCTTTCCTTTAGACTCAATCGTTAGATTGAGAGTATGCGAGGGTACCGGATCCCGGCATCTCTATATTAAAGATTTGTAGTTACCTGAGGGTTACGTTCCGAATATTACTGGGACCGTACCAGGTATTTGCTCTCCTGGCCGCGAATACTGGCCCCCGGGACAATAGACCCTCTCAGTTTAACTGAGAGCGACAGAAGGGAGTGGTTAATTTTGTTTCTGATATCTTATGGACTGTAGTGGGGTGTCAAACTAAAGTTATCAAATTTTTTTAACTCCAGTATAGTTGGCTTTTTTTTTTAGACAATAGTAACCTAGGTTTCGAATGTCGTAACTTGATGATAAGTTCAAGATGTTGCATTTAAACTGGGATCAGTTTTCGGTAACTGTTCTTTTGCTCATTTAGTTATTAGTTCCTTATTTCGAGTAAGGTAACTGGCATCACTATCTTTTTTAGTGGTACACTGGAGAGTAAACTGCGTTCTGAGCTAGTTACTAGTTTGCCTTCCACTCTCCCGAATAAACGAACTGGCGGAACTAGAGCGGGCTTTTCTACGTAGAAAGAACTACTAAAGTAACCTACCTAAGTAACTTTGTACATTAATTACTTGCTTACTACTGGTATGTGTATAACTACTTCTAATGTACACCAAGGTCTGTGCTTCACACATATACTCTCCATAATGCATCCTTCATCTATGCTCCACACCATTCTCGTTCTCACATCAAATGTGTTATAGAAACTGGATCATATCACACGTAAATACAATGTAGGTTTCGTATAGAACAGATGTTCTATGTATATTAATTTTTACGACAAAAAATACAAATGATTACGTATAAAACAACTCACAGATTATTGGGAAATAATCTGACAGCTAAATCTACGGTCTGGTGCAATCAGCACAATAAATATTTCCGTGACAATTTATCTTCATGATCAGATCCTAACAAATGTCCTAGTGATTTATAAATATGACAATAAGTTACGGACACAAAACATACAATGTACACGTATGCAATAATGACTCGATCTTTGTTTCTATGGAAACACAACATGGCACTTATAAAATTAAGTAAATATCATGTACTAAAATTAAAAGTATCAAAAATCTCTTGAAGCAACATGGAAAGTTAAATGACGTATATGTTTAAAGTGACTACAATATTTTACAATACAATAAGTTACAAAAAATAAAACAGCGCTTACATAACCCAATTCAGTATACATATAGATTTTTTCAACTTTTTCATCTATAAATATGAAGTGAGAAAATCTGCGTTTAATAATGATTATTCTAATGACTTCTCTGTAAGTCATTGTCAATGAACCCAAAATATTAATAAACCTAATAGGGTAAAATACTTTCTAGAAATTTCTGGCTTCTTTTATCGATAACGTTATATATCTGAGATTTGCACAATTAAAATTTAACAAATAAAACTGCAGTTAATGTTAAAAATGGAAGCAGAGTAGGCCTACAAACCTGACAATAAAAATCACCAAATAATTTTACCTCATCTGTTTAATCCCTTTTTCATGGAAAACTCATGTACCCTTTAACTGGTGTTTGTAAGCTCTCACACTCACACATATTAGTGTGGCTCAAGGGGTCGTTGTCGTAACAGGTACTACAGAAGTGTACCCTAACCCTAACACACACACACACACACACACACACACACACACACACACACACCTATATGTACGGTTTTCCGTTACAGGTTACCATGGGTCAGGTGGACCATGGGAAATCACCACCTCTTCATACACAGAACTGGCAGATATTTTTCTAAATGCGGCGCAGGAACTTGGATATAAACTTGGTGATGTTAATGGAGAGAATCAAGAGGGTAACTATGAACTATATCAATAAATAATAAAGTATTTTCCATTCATGAAAGAGAAATTTAGTAACCAAATGAAGTTGCAATTGAAACTACTCAGGAATGAAATGACGTATGGTTTAATTTGTTTTGGTTCTTCAAATCCCAGTTTTCATGAAATCGCAAGCAAACACAAAAGATGGAAAACGTTGGAGCACAGCTGAAGCATATCTGAGACCAGCCATGCACAGATCAAACCTAGACATAGCCATCAATACTCACGTAACCAAGGTAACACACTGACGATGAACAAAGATAACTAATATAGTCTGAAAATAGAGAACGTATTTGTGAAATTCATGTACGTGGTTTTCAGATAAACTTTGATGGTAAGAAGGCGACAGGAGTCACCTTCATTCACGGTGCTGAGAAGAAGACTGTTCATGTATCAAAGGAAGTGATTCTCTCTGCTGGTAGCATTGGTTCTCCGCACATCCTCATGTTGTCTGGTGTTGGGCCAAAGGATCACCTTACCAAGTTCAACGTACGATCACATTTACCTAGTTGAAATAATACCTAATGATATTTGACTGACAGTTAATGATCACTAGTTTGTTCGTACCGTACAGATAACGTAAATGCTATCATATCTACATGTGCCTAATTCGTCATTTAGTTATATTTATGACTACTAATTAACTATAACTAATATATTGAAAAATGACTGTGACACATAGTCTTTAACAATTAAAGTTCACAACTGAAGCACAAAGCAGATTTTCCTCTGAGAGACCTCACTTTCCTACTTGGAAATCAATAGTATCAGTTTATAATTCGTAACATATTCTGATTAAATCGTTCATGTTTCTACTGAATTTAAGATATCAACTGTTGCTGACTTGCCGGTCGGTCAACACCTACAGGAACACCCTGGCCTCATGTATCCAGAGTTCTGGCTAGAGAAACCTCTATCTGTCACCCTAGACATGATGAACAGTTGGAAGGCCAGCATACAGTATAACCTGTTTGGAAAAGGTTAGTTCAAGTCCCTTACCTGGAATCATCCGATAACACACGAACATATTAATCAACATCATGACTATACACATTTTCACGATAATAGGTGTTCATTTAGTTTCTTAGACGCATATATATATATATATATATATATATATATATATATATATATATATATATATCTTCAAACTACTATCCCTGCCTCCTTGAAAAAACATTTTACATCATGATAAAATCAGGAGTCTATCAATAGATTTGATAGACTCCTGATAAAATAACACTGACGTGGTTTAATGTAGCAAACATGAGGATCTATAAAAGCGTTATACGTGATGTATTTTACGTTTATATATAATGACGCGTTACGTTTAATTAATAGGTCCTATAGCCTATCAACTCTTCGACACTGTGGGCGTTCTCAAGACAAAAGCTGCTGACCCTAAACGTGGTCTACCTGACATTCAGATACAGCTCATGCCCATGGGACTTGGTTTTGACACCGATGAAGTTGTTTACAATACACTTGGCCTCGACAGAAACGTAGGTTTCCCAAAATCATAGCGATCGTATCCACTAAAACTCTGCATTCTCCTGTTTTTACCGAGCATTTACATGTCGAGGATGAATCTGAGGTGGATAATTGCGGCAAAATTAATATAAGTTCGAGATGGAAAGAGAACTATAACCCAGATGAATCTGCTAGATAGCAGATGATATGTACTGCAGTTTTGAAATGCACCTATTTCTCATGCCTGATACATATAGTGAAACGATGAATTCACCACGTCATGCCACACACAAGTCTGTTTGCCCGTTTACACAGTTTATAAAGGCCTACAATTTTTCCGAGCACAAGACTCGTCCAGTCATGACATGGGTTGCAATCCTTCTTCACCCGAAGAGTGTTGGAGAGATTCGGCTGCAATCATCAGACGCACTCGATCCACCGGAGATTGACCCAAACTACTTTGACGATGACTCTGATGTCAAGTCGCTAGTAGAGAGTAAAGACTACATTTCCCTTCTAGAAATTATGAAAAACACGCGAAATAATGCTGTTCATAATTTTGCTGAATGGTTGTCTATTATCTACTTTAGTTAAATCTACTTTATCTAGTTAAAATCTACTAGATTTGATAGACGCGGCTTAATTTATATATTGATGAAGGAAAGTTACATTGATTCATTCACTTCATCATGTCTTTCACGATCACTTCTTTAGGTATAAAGATCAGTCTGCAGTTTGCTGAGACTAAAGCATTAAAAGCTATCGGCGTTAAACTGCGAGATCAGATCGTTCCAGGCTGTGAGAAGCATGAATACAAATCTGACAACTACTGGGACTGTGCCGTGAGAACAGTAACAGCGACCATATATCACCCGACAGGAACATGTAAGATGGGAGCAATCAATGACCAAACTGCAGTTGTTGATCCACAACTCAGGTACGTGAACACGTATAAATATAAAGATTTTGCTACTATAACTTTAGACCTAGACATATTTAACACATTATAATAGATAGATCTGTAAATCCAGGATGCGATTGATTGACCCTGTGGTGTAGCCATATATGTTATGCCGTGCTTACAGAATGAAAGTGTCAATGACACTGTAGCTCACCACACAAAAAAACACAAATGAGTGAGTGAGAAGAAGTCGGGTCAGGGAAGTTAGCTTCCAGTTCCCAGTTCCTTATTTCGAATAAAGAACTAAGTAAATAGGCAAAGCGTTACGCAGTTCCCAGTCCTTATTCGAATAAGGAACTAGTAAGCTAGGCAGAGCGGCAAGTGTCCAGTTCCCAGTTCGAAAATGCAACATTGAATTGGGAACTGGTAACAAGGCAAAATAGTTACTAGTTGCTTATTCGGCCAAATTAACCCTTTGGCACACATTTATTTAATCAGTTACCAGTTCGATACCCAGCTACTTATTCAGTTACCAGTTCGAAACCAATACTATTGCCAATACTACTATGTTTGCTGAGTAAATAACTGGGTGGCGAACTGGTAACTGGGCATCAAAGGGTCAATTGGGCTCTGAATGACTTTTAGGACCTTTACAGGTAACTGAATAAGTAGCTGGGTGGCAAACTGGTAACTGCATGGGGTTCATAGGGTCTATGTCCCCCAGGGTACTGCGGAACGCACCCTGGGTAGTAGGTACGGTTCGGTATACCGGAACGTACCCTGGTAACTATTTGATATGGTTAGGGTTAGGGTTAAGATTAGGGTTAGGGTTAGGATTAGGGAGTAGGCGTTGGCGACTCCCTAGACTCGTTAGTGAGTAGCGAGGTACGGTCCGGCATATTAGATAGTACCGTACGTCCGCGTATAGCTGGACCGTACCCAGGGTATGTTCCGGCAGTACCCTGGGGGACATAGACCCTCTCAGTGTAACTGGGCGACAAAGGTTATTTTTGGTTCTGAATACTCTAGGACCTGTAAAGGCCAACAAGATCATTAACACATAGGCGAATAAGTAACTAGGTTTCGAACTGGTAACTGCATGCATAATTCAATGTTGCATTTTAAACTGGAAGTGGTAACTGGCTTTGCATAGTTACTAGTTCCTTATTCGAATAAGGAACTGGGAACTGGTAACTGGTAACTGTAACTGCTTTGCCTAGTTACTAGTTCCTTATTCGAATCAAAGAACTGGAACTGGGAACTGGGAGCTAACTTCCTGAGTGGAAGAAGTCAGTTTAATTGAGCAACCATCGACGTACATTATAGAAACGAGAGTATTATAGGGAGAATCCCTATATACTCTTGATAATTATGTGTACGTATATATGATCGCGTATAACGCGGGCGCTATAACCGCACCTCAATTTGAATCGGGTAACCAAGTATTGCGCCTAGTTCAGGTATAAACCGCACTTAAATCGAGGTAATCTCACCAGATATGTGTGGTGCAATTGTGAACGATAATGGGTGAAAATTGACAAAATTAGCATGATCATGTTACATGTCACACACGTCTAGGCAAACACATTTAGGCAAACACGATTTATGCATTTATTTAATGAACGTTAGATCACCCATTATCGCCCCCGGCGAGTGACAAGACTCAGCAACGATCGATGAACAAATTTCCCCGTCACGGTATGGCGCCCTTATAAACCGCAGAGCAATACAGGGTTGAAATCTGAGGCCAAATTTGCGGTATTACGCGATCATTTATGTGAAAATTATTTTTTATGTGAAAATAAATGTTTGGATGTGAAAGTCTGAATGTGGGCGAGTGATGGCGTTACAGTAAATGACGCCATTGAATATTTTATATAATATCAGATTTAGGCACTGCTAAAAGCGGAGCTCCGATGTGTAACGTGTAATGATTGAGAGATACGCTTATTCCACGTAGCTGCTATATACCACGTGACAATGGTGTTCCCTGCCCATAACACAACTTTTGTCAAAGGTTAATTGGTTGCATGAAGTGTTTACTTCGTACGAGTTTTTCAAGGCGGTAGCACACGTGCCATCTGTATATCGGCAATAATAGTTTATAAAACCAAAATGAATCACAATCTGTGCGGTAGATGGCGCTACTACCCGCTTTGATGTTTCTTAGCGATGGCGTTCGAAATAAATAGGTTATGCTGCGTTCGCCGACATGTTTGTAAAACTTTACTCTAATATAGACGTTTTATCGGCAGGGTGGAGAGGAAATACCAATTTTGCATTAAAGATATTGTCAATGAAATCTTGTAAAAGAACCAGCCGAGTCTGACACCACACAGACTGTTTGTTATCTGCGTGTCAATATAATATGCTATAATTGCCAAAACCTACCTAATTTGCATAAAAAAATATGCCCTTATTCATTCACATACCAAAAATGAGCAAAATCCGTTGAACCTGAACTGACTAATGGCAATTCCCTTTTGCCAAAAATTGCCGTGGCTCGAAAGTACGTTGACTGGCGTGCTCCAAAATAGGACGTTCAATATGGGAGCAAGCAGTAATAACTATACCCAATTTCAAATATGTGGGTAAACGTTCCTGAGTTATCGTTGACCGTAGCCAAATGTTGACGGACGGACGGACGGACGTACGACGGACGACGACCCATGGCAATAGCTCATCTTGACGATGTCAAGGTGAGGTAAAAATCAGAAATGCACGCCATATGAAATGAATTCATTGTGCCCACAGCCTTGGCAAGGCAGCAAGAGTTTAGGGGGAACATTTCCTGGAGCCGGGGCGTGCACATAATATTGAGGGAGATAATATTGCAGACTCAAGACCCTCACCCTCAAATATCTACAGGGTGGTAACAGACACAAGACCACGCGATAGACTGATGCAAAAAAATATAGCGCAGGGATATACGCACCTGACTGAAGATTCATCACACAGACAATAGGATATTCATCAGCACCTATACCTAGACCGAATAATTCTGTCCCATATAACCTTTTTTATATTTTGGTGAGGGTTATCCCCAATAACCCTCACCAAAATATGAAAAAGTTTATATGGGACAGAATCATTCGGTCTACACCTATACCCAGCCCAAACACCGTCTACAGCAAAATCAGCAGTCCGAATTAAAACTATAATAGTGCAGTCAGAATACCTTTACACGGTTCACCATACAGGTCATCAGAACGCGTACGATACAATTAAGGATATAAATAAATAGCCGTACATTATCATGAATATATATAATATATATATATATATATATATATATATATATATTCATGATATTGCATCACATTATGTGGTAACATTAAATGAAACTGCAGGCTCTGTGAAACTGTCGATATCTGTCGAAACTTCGACACATTACTTTTTACGCCTCGTTAAATAGGCGTCACGTGACCGTCTGAATCTTTGAATTTTTTTGCGAAACTTTTGTCATATCACTTGAGTCATATTAAAATACATCAGTTGTTTTCATTGATATGAACTCTCGCACATTACAGGGTTCGTGGAGTCCGTGGTCTGAGAGTGGCTGATGCTTCTATAATGCCGGAGATTGTATCAGCTAACACCCAGGCCACTACAGTCATGGTTGCAGAGAAGGCAGCTGACATGATACTATCAGGAGCATGATCGGCTACACACTACAGAGGGCAAAATGTGGTTATTTCTACGTAGAAAGAACTACTAAAGTAACCTACCTAAGTAACTTTGTACATTAATTACTTGCTTACTACTGTATGTGTATAACTACTTCTAATGTACACCAAGTCTGTGCTTCACACATATACTCTCCATAATGCATCCTTCATCTATGCTCCACACCATTCCCGTTCTCACATCAAATGTGTTATAGAAACTGGATCATACCACACGTAAATACAACGTAGGTTTCGTATAGAACAGATGTTCTATGTATATTAATTTTTACGATAAAAAATACAACTGATTACGTATAAAACAACTTACAGATTATTGGGAAATCTTGAAGCGACGTGGAAAGTTAAATAACGTACGTATATGTTTAAAGTGACTATAATATTTTACAGTACATTAAGTTACAAAAAATAAAACCTAGCGCTTACATAACCCAATTCAGTATACATATAGATTTTTTCAACTTTTTCATCTATAAATATGAGAGTGAGAAAATCTGCGTTTAATAATGATATTCTAATGACTTCTTGTAAGTCATTGTCATGAACCAAATATTAATAAACCTAATAGGGTAAATACTTCTAGAAATTTCTGGCTTCTTTTATCGATAACGTTATATATCTGAGATTTGCACATTAAAATTTAACAAATAAAACTGCAGTTAATGTTAAAAATGGAAGCAGAGTAGGCCTACAAACATGACAATAAAAATCACCAAATAATTACCTCATCTTTTAATCCTTTTTCATGGAAAACTCATACTGTACCCTTTAATGGTGTTTGTAAGCTCTCACACTCACACATATTAGTGTGGCTCAAGGGGTCGTTGTCGTAACAGGTACTACAGAAGTGTACCCTAACCCTAACACTAACCCTAACTCTAACCCTAACCCTAAACATACCTCATATAAAAATATAAACATAATACTAAACAACCTAAAACTACCTCGGGTACATATCTGTAGTACCTGTTACGACAACGACCCTTCGTGCATTAGTGTGGCACTGTTTAATATCAATATACACTTACACCGTACCATGTCCACTCATATATGTTGCTAGACTTACTTATGAAGCACTTTTGACTTTGAGATTAAACTTTTAAAATTATTGATACAGAGGACTGAAAATAGGTCTCTGCAATAAACCTAAAGATATAGACATAGAAGAAGTAGAAGAAGAAAAAGAAAAAGAGACAGAAGAAGATGAAGAAGGAGGATGAGAAAAAAAGAAAAAAAAGTCAGTGCTGCAGGGTATTTTTGAACTTGGTCGTGATTTTGACAGTGCACTGTAACTAATGCTCTCGTCAATGCATCGGACATGTGCCGGTGCGTGTCGGGAAAAATCTGCTGCTGGTGCACGCATACCCTGGAAGTAAAGATAGTACTATACTCGTAATAGGGTACATAAACTTCTTACACAGGCTTCACTGTGAATGCATTGGTATTTCTAAAGAAGAGGCTCAATCTCTACCTGCTTTTCACTGTCCACGTGTGTTATAATAATTATAATTAAACCTGAAATGAATGTATTATCACCATAGTGGCTGTAACTCCTGATAAGGTTGGAATTTTTCAATTCTGTAAACTGTGTAACGTTTCTCATGCCATGAGCCACAGGCACTTGAAACACTTCAATAATAAAATTATGGTAAATAAATTATACACAAAATGTATTTACTATCAAAATCTTAATAATGATAGATCTATGCTCTTTTGCCTATTATTGGTAAGTGTCACATAACTGTAGTCCAAATGCTTCTCTGCAACACACAATTTCACTGCACACACTGTGCATGAACTCACAGAAAGATAGCTTCATTCACAATAAGTGATGTGTGTGCATGCGGTGAAATTATGTGTTGCAGAGGTAATAATAGTATTGGTATCAAGAGCTAATAATACCTATTATGTATTATTAGCTCTTGTTGGTATTAATATCGATTTGCATTGATGCTTGAGTGGAACGTTTCAATAATAAAAAACGACGGTAAATAAACACAAAATGTATTTACTACCAATGTTTCTCTACTCTCTTAAATTTTGCCTATTATTACCGATAATTTCCTGTAAATGCCGTTCGAATGTTCCTCTGCAACACACAGGTACACCGCACGCACGCCGCTGTGCACAAATAACAAAATTAGTTTTTCGAAATTACAAACAAAATTAGGAAGAACATTATAAACTCTATAATTTTGTTGTTTATGCACAGCGGCGTGCGTGCGTGCGTGTTGTGGAGGTTGTAGCCAGGTGAATCTGTTCAATCGGAACTATATTCAAAAACTATTAGGAACACAAGTATTACGCGTGAATATTACAAGTTACACATTTATATTCTGAACAATGCCGGTTGCATTTATTATGTGTTATATTTGGCAAGAAATCAAGTTAACATGAGTAAAGCTTGCGATCGTAGTTGAAATGTTGTTTTAACTTAAACTGTTTGCCTACTAAATAAGGAACATTTTGACATATAGTAAACTCATGCAGACTAAATAATTTATGAAATATTGATAATTTAATATACTAGTGGAAGGCAAATTTGCACTATTTTTACCTATTTGATCGTTTCAATGTTATTTTTTACAATTTAAAGATATCTATATTCAGTAAATTGCTGCTATCAGTATACCAATGTATGAATAGAACTACTTATGCGAATCATTTGACCTAAGTTTGGACTTAGTTGCGTAAATATTGTTGAAGGTATAGACAAAAACCGTAGACTGGCATAATGCAATACCCGCTCAACTGCCAGGGCGTGCTGTGTGCCACCAGGTGGTGCTGTTCAATTACTATTATATCAGAAACAGTAACACGTGTAGTACACGTGTGCAAACTTACACAATTCTACTCAAAAGTGCAGAATTTCTATGTGCCAATTTATACGTGATTATCCGCTGGTCTATATTAACCAAATGATACAAATTGTACAATTAAATAAATTGCCTATCATTTCAATATACAGACATGTAGACTTTACTTAAATATTCCATTAATTGAAGCCGTAATTAGCCGTAATTGCTCGTAATTACTAATTAGCCATTAGTAGCTGTCAGAATGCAGTTCGCATTTAAACTGACTACGTCACCAACTTTTTATGGTGTATATTTGTAAAAATTTTGTTGCAATTTTGTTGCATTAAAAGTAAGTACTAATGGGACTAAATGTATCGTCAAATTCTTACCTGATAAGATTGTTTCTCAACTAGTTAAAAATCCAAAAACTCTGGACGATCTGATATATTGATCACAACGTTAATTGCTTGCTATGGGCTATATGTATGAGTCACGAGTGTTTGTTCACATCGGACAGAATAGGAAGTATAATGCAGCAATTTAATCATAAAAAAGTGAACAGAATCACTTACATTTTGTGAAAAAATGGACACAATTTTTCAATTTTACTATTTACGGTGATGCAATCACTTTAACAATGGCAACATGCATGAGAATAGTATATACTTCAGCACTAGTCCTATAACGTGTAACGCGCGCTACGTCAGCAATGTACAGAATAAGATAAAGATTCAATATTTTCGATATTATTACTTTTTGCTGCCCTAATATATCTGTAGATCTTTTGCAGAGTTATTTCCTACAGAACTATGATAAGCAGTGACATAATCGATATCTTTCATAAGTTATCTTCCTATTTTACTTCTGCTAATATGTATATGTAATGTATGGCGTAGGAGATTACATATGTACAGAATAAGATCCTTACTCTCTAGGGCATAGATACCCCTTTCTGCGTGGACAGCAGCTACTTCATTATCAATAAAAATAAAAACTTACTCGTTTCTTTCAAAAGAAACAAAAAATTATAGTTCTCATGCATCAGTATGAGAAATTAAAACCGGGCGTATTTTACTGTAAGCGAGTAGGACTACGCCGATGCTGCGAACACACGCGCTCTATGTTTACATCTTGGGGATTAGTCTGAATACATCAGTTCATTTAGGATGAATAATATCTATCAGACTTTGATAGTTCTCATCAGATATTGTGCCAGGCGCGCGTTTCTATCACGTCCGGAGACCATGTCAGCGACCTACAGGAAACAGACACATAGAAACCAATGAGTTCCTCAACCGACCAAACAGCTATCTATATACGTGTCGTATGTATAATCACAGGCACTTGGAACATCTCAAATCTCAATAAAAAAATAATGGAAAATAAACACAAAATGTATTTGCTACCAGTCTCAATGTTTCTCTACTCTTTCGCCTGTTGTTGCCGATAACTTCCTGTAAACGCCGTTCAAATGCTCCTCTGCAACACACAAGTACACACGCACGCACGCCACTGTGCACAAACAACAAGAAAAAAGAGTTATTAGATAGTACCAGGGTACGTTCCGGTATACTGGACCGTACCCAGGGTATGTTCCGGCAGTACCCTGGGGGACATAGACCCTCTCAGTGTAACTGGGCGACAAAGGGTTAATTTTGGTTCTGAATAACTCTTAGGACCTTGTAAAGGGCCAAACAAGATCATTTAACAGCATAGGCGAATAAGTAACTAGGTTTCGAACTGGTAACTGCATGCATAAGTTCAATGTTGCATTTTAAACTGGGAAGTGGTAACTGCTTTGCATAGTTACTAGTTCCTTATTCGAATAAGGAACTGGGAACTGGTAACTGGTAACTGGTAACTGCTTTGCCTAGTTACTAGTTCCTTATTCGAATAAAGAACTGGGAACTGGGAACTGGGAGCTAACTTCCCTGAGTGGAAGAAGTCAGTTTTAATTGAGCAACCATCGACGTACATTATAGAAACGAAGAGTATATATGGGAGAACTCCCATTATATACTCTTGATAATTATGTGTACCGTATATATGATCGCGTAATAACCGCGGGCGCCTATAAGCCGCACCTCAATTTGAATCGGGTAACCAAGTATTGCGCCTAGTTCAGGTATAAACCGCACTTAAATCGAGGTAATCTCACCAGAAAATGTGTGGTGCAATTGTGAACGATAATGGGTGAAAATTGACAAAATTAGCATGATCATGTTACATGTCAACACACGTCTAGGCAAACACATTTAGGCAAACACGATTTATGCATTTATTTAATGAACGTTAGATTCACCCATTATCGCCCCCGCGAGTGACAAGACTCAGCAACGATCGATGAACAAATATTTCCCCTCACGGTATGGCGCCCTTATAAACCGCAGAGCAAATACAGGGTTGAAATCTGAGGCCAAATTTGCGGGTATTACGCGATCATTTATGTGAAAATTATTTTTTATGTGAAAATAAATGTTTGAGATGTGAAAGTCTGAGATGTGGGCGAGTGATGGCGTTACACGTAAATGATCGCCATTGAATATTTTTATAATATTCAGATTTAGGCACTGCTAAAAGCGGAGCTCCCGATGTGTAACGTGTAAGATTGAGAGGATACGCTTATTCCACGTAGCTGCTATATACCACGTGACAATGGTGTTTCCCTGCCCATAACACAACTTTTGTCAAAGGTTAATTGGTTGCATGGAAGTGTTTACTTCGTACGAGTTTTTCAAGGCGGTAGCACACGGTTGCCATCTGTATATCGCAATAATAATTTATAAACCAAAATAAATCACAATTTGTGACGGTAGATGGTGCTATACCCGCTTTGATGTTTCTTAGCGATGGCGTTCGAAATAAATAGGTTATGCTGCGTTCCGACATGTTTTGTAAAACTTTACTCTAATATAGATATTTTATCGGCAGGGTGGAGAGGAAATAGTATTAATACCAATTTTGCATTAAAGATATTGTCAATGAAATCTTGTAAAACGAACCAGACGAGTGTGACACCACAGACTGTTATCTGTGTGTCTATATAATATGCTATATAATTGCCAAAACCTACCTAATTTGCATAAAAAAAATTTAAATATCAAAACCCCTGTAATACGTTTTAGGGCCAGCCCTTATTCATTCACATACCAGTCAGTTCAGGTTCAACGGATTTTGCTCATTTTTGAATACGACACGGTTTCACACAGTTTTCCCAAATGTTTGCATTTGCAAATGTTGCATTGCTATTCGCTAAAAAACAAGTTTGGAGAGTATAGTGGTTTTGTGAGTGAATATTTTCGTCCGTGCATGTCCAATTAAATTGGTCAGTGTTTTTGCAATTTGAATTGCAAATTGAAGCTTTTACGAGCACAAGTGACGAGTGAGTGTATATCCCAAACAAGATTTCACTGCAGGAAATCTAACACACAGATTCTATCCAATTCATATAGCCAGACTCCATTTACATTATATTTCACGTTAACGTTTTGTGATTATTGTTGAAGCAGGCTCGCATCGTAAAGACAACAGTTGTTCACATAACAAGATTCTTTTATTACGTTGTATTCAGGATATCAGGGATGTATAGACTGTTCGAAGTTAAAACAGTTAATAATTAACATAGACTGTTCTCTAGAGAATAATACAGAACCTGGTACCGATACCTACCTAAACTCTAGAGCAGTGGTTCTTAACCTTTTTAGAGGCGCCGAACCCTAACGAAACCCACTGCTCACTCGCCGATCCTCTCAAATTTGACAAAAACAAATCAATTTTAATTAATCCAAAAATAAAACATATTGCATCAACATTCAAGACTATATTTGGAAAGCGTGCAAAGAATGAACAAAAAATACAAATTATAGCAAATTATAGAAAAATTTTAATGCGTTTCGGAGAACCTCCGCCGAACCCCTGAGACTGGCTCACCGAACCCCTGGGGTTCGGCCGAACCCAGGTTAAGAACCACTGCTCTAGAGTATATAGTGCAGATCTCATCGTATGGTTAGGTGGATGTGTAGTTAAATGCTTAATTACTGTAACAGTTATCCATTACACAGCAACATCAGCTCAAAAACTCCTCGTAACTATTCCTAATTGGCCTTTTCATGTTAAAATTTCCTTTTCAGATATCACGAAATATGGCTCGCGATTCCCCCCATAAAAGCCCGAGCCAATTCCAACCTCTTAACACGAGGATTTTCATGAATTTTCATGATCCGCTTCGCTTGCCCATTAACGTGTGGTCATAATTGGCGAGTGCAGCTGCTTGTGGGTTGGTATGAGCATGTTGGGGTGGTCCTAATGAGTACATGCTAGTTGGATTAATGCTAGTTTATATAAGCCGTCGGTGAAAGATCGTCTTGCAGAGGTGTCCGTCTGCAATTCTCACTCCATTGGGTGTGTGGCAACTAATCCTGCCTGAAATCGAGTGAACAACTTTCACGTATTCAATTTTTATTCGCACCCAAAATTCTCACTCAATTGGGTGTGTAATATGTAACTAACCCTGCCTGCAATCGAGTGAAAAAACTCCGTTTTTTTATTTAAATTTCGATAATGAACTTGAATAGTTTAACTTTTATACGTCATTAGAAAGCACGTGCGCGCAACAGCGTGAAAGCGAAACAGATAGCAGAACTTTGCCGATTTTTACGCTCTCGTCAGTCAAATCGTGATATGTAGCAGAGGCAACCGTGTGGAACCGTGTGGGCTCCTCGGTTTGATTTACGATGTTACACCTATGGTTACACAAACAATTTCTGTCGTGCTTCCACGCATCTGTCGATCAGCTTTTGCTCATGTGTCATTGTACACTGCTTTGCTTGGGAGTTAGAGTTGATAGTATATGACGGTGTTGTCCTAATATAATGCTAACTGCAGTGACATTGTAATGATTTATGGCGAGGATAACTATTAAGAAAATCAGAAAAATCGACATTTCTGAACACATTCATCACACGATGCGGTTTCACGAGAAATCATCGAGTTAATGTTGTATAGAGCAACGCCATGTGCAATACTGGCTACAGAGCTAAACCGTACTGTTCAGAAAGCGTGCATGTGTGTGCGTGCGTATATGAGTGTGTGCATATATGTGTGTTTGTGTGTGTGTGCGTCCATATATGCGTGTGAGTCTGTTGTTGTGAACGTCTTGAGTATGTTTTGTGTGCACGTGTGTGTGTCCGTGCGTGTGCGCGTGCACGCGCATGTGTGTGTGTGTGCGTGCGTGCGTGCGTGCGTGCATGCGTATGTGTGTGCTTTCCATTACAGCGTTTCCACCGGAACCTTGAGCTGTCAGTTTCTGTCGCACAAAAACTCAAAAACTCAGCCGCTTAAGTTTACGCTGTCATCACTTGATAAGATGATTATATCTAGATGTTAGATTGGTTGGTTTTTAGCTCACCTTGACATCGGCAAGATGAGCTATTACCATGGGTCGTCGTCCGTCGTACGTCCGTCCGGCCTTCCGTCAACATTTGGCTACGGTCAACGATGACTTAGGAACCGTTTGACCCACGTTTGAAATTGGGTATAGTTGCTACTGCTATGGGAGAGGTTTGAATGTCCTATTTTGGAGCAGTCGCCAGTCGACGTACTTACGAGCCACGGCAATTTTTTGGCAAAAATGGAAATTGCCATTTTAAAGAACTTTTTGAAGAACACATACGATTTTCATGTAAACTGATGCAGATGGTGTCATATGATTAAGGGAGAATCCGAGACGCAAACAAGGTAAAGTTTGAATATATTTATTCACATATTGATAGAATATTTACAAGTTGAAAACTAT